ACTTTATGAGAAATTGCCACTTAACCCAATAGGATTGTTCTTCTAGTGAAGAACATGGATAAGAATGAAATAGCTAGCACAAAGAAAATCCTCCACTGTGGATATGTCCCTTTAAGATATCTTTTCTCATTTAAGTAACCATCAGTGAAAGCTCCTTGCCAGAATCCTTTCCACTAATTTGGAAGGATGATTAACTTTACAGGAATTGGAATGAGGGACTGAGAGAGACCCTGGTGCTCCTTTTTCATATCTGGAAGTTTGGGCATCTTCATGGTCAAAAGCTGAAATGTGCTGGCCTGAGTCAGCTACAGCTAGTATGAGAGAGATGGAGCTGCTCTGGGATAATTTCTGAATAGTGTATGCTGACCTGGCAATTGGAATATTTGCTGCATGACTATACTGGATTAAGTCAATAGAGCAAAAAATGGGAAACAGTGGCTGAAGATAAGTCTCTCCATGATAAACATTAGGGTGCTGTTATGGAACAGGTAGACACACTAGTTAGTTTAATCTTCCATGAAGCCTACCAATGCAATTTGGACTAGCAGGGCAAATGCTTGGAGGAACTGACAAGAACAAAAAAGAGCCATAGATGGTTTTAAAGGAGATGTTGTTGCTGAGGAACTTTTTAGATTGAGACAAGCACTGAGCAGAGAGGATCTGAAGAAACTCAGCCTGCTTAGACTATTATCAAGTGATGATGCAGCAGTAGGTAAGCTAGACCTGTGCATAAATTTTGTGCAGAGAATCCTGTTAAATGATTTCCTCCCTTTGTTCTGTTAAAATTATATGATACTTGGTGTGAAGAAGCTGTCTAAGCACCATAGTCAACATTGGTCACATGCTCCTAAAAAGAAGAACTTCACATATGAATGTGGTTGGACCTGCTGGGTAAGCAAGGCCAATACACAGGGGACTGTAGCCCTGAGCCCAGTCTAGGAGTATGGCATTCAATCACAGGAGAGGCAAAAGCATGAGATATGACATCTGTGGTGAGGTGTTCAGAGAGATCAGAGGAAGGAAAAAGAGGCAAAGGCTCTGTAATTATGACAGCTAGTTATACATGGATAAGATGGACTGATATGCTAGGTTTATTGTGGAGAAGTGATGGCATAAGTCAATAAGTTTAACAACCAGATATAAAAATCTAGCAAAGAAATGCATCCCTGTTGTTAAGAAACAGCAACTCAGTTATCTAGAACAGAGCTGAGGATTGCTATTTACATGGTAACTTGTGTTTTGTTTATTTGGATTAGTGTGTCATGCTTTATTAAAATTAATGTAATATTGTGGGTTCTTATTACATTAATACTTTTAAGATCAGTTTTATTAGTGTGCTTCCCCTATGTTTCTGCATGCAGTCATAAACCAGATATATTTGGCCAGTTAGCCAAGTTCATGGTTGTTTTGATTCACTGGAGCAGCTCAAAGCAGCCATACTGTACTGATAAAACTGGTCCTGATGATCTACTGGGAATTACGAAGAGGGAATCCCATTTAGGATCAATACTTTCTTGTAAATATGAAAATAAATGTTGTAACATTTTAGGAATTGACTTGAAATATCAGCTCCACTGAAAAGAATTCCTATTGATATTAGTAGTGGGGGAAGGTAGTGATTTCACCTTTCCATTGCAAATGCTCAAAATGAGAGGATTTTTTTGTTCCCCTCACTGTCAGAATGATAGTTGTAGATATTGGTCACATGCTTGGTTTAAACTGGGATTCACAGGCAAACATAACTGAAAAATATGGGAAAAGTCTATAAGCAATGAATTGTACAAATTGTTCATTTTTCATTTTTCCTTCCTTATTTTAATTTGAACCAGAAAGAACAAAGGATTCTTTAAGATACAATTTGTATAATCATAAGGAACCCAAAGTGCTAGTTTTTAATGAAAAATTTTAACCTGCATTTTCCATCTTCTCCACTAACAGGAAATTGAATGTCTAGAATCTGGATGTTGTCCAGACAGTTTTTTTCTTTCTACACATGAAGTCATCTCGTGTTCAGCAAGCCACTAAAGAGTTTTTGTGGTCAGAATTGTAATAGCTTCAAATGTGAGGGTGGGAACTCGGGGATGTGTACAGGTTTTAGTATTGGAATTTATTTAGGTTTTTGTTCATACCTGCCTTTTTTCTGGAGAAGCATGAAAGATTTTGTGTGCTATTGAAAGAGAGACAAAGGCCCTTTGAAACCTGTTACTAATTATTTATATCCCTCATCAAAAGCTTTTACTCATAGTGAAGACACCCCTCCAGTTTTGTCCTTTCACTGCCTTTTCCAACCTAAACTTGTCCCTTTCTTTTGGCCTTTTAGGTAAAATAGGTAGTTTCTTTAAATATCTTTAAAGCTACTGATCGCATAATGGATGCATCTTAGCACAAATGTATCATGGACATAAACCAATTCTGAAGCCCATGCAGCTTTGTTTACTTTGCAGTTGTCAAAGCCTGGGACTGTGCCATTATATGCTTTCTAATGTTATGTCAGACACAAGGCTGTCCAATCATTGCTGTCACCAGCACACTGGTTGCTGTCATGGTTGGCATGCTGACAAGACATACAAAGAACACTGCCATCATTCAGCTCAGAAATGTAAAGAGCTCTAAATCTCCGTCCATCCTTTTACCAAGCTTCCCCTGGCTGGAACTTGGCAGTTCTGGACAGTAGCCAGGAGCTCAGCCACGACTCAGGGAATGGGAGAAATGGCAACCAAGAGAGGCAAAGCCAGCAGTGGACATACTGGCAGTATCAAGACCCTGTGTTATCTCCAAGGTATATGTATTCTGTTAAAATCACACTGAAATCCTAAGTGACTAGAACAGTAGTAAAAAAAACAGATCATCTAGGCAGCCCTTAGCTAGCTCTACAGTTACTCCTCAAGAATGAAGCCCAGGGAGAAAAGGCAGGGGACCAAGGAAGAGGAAGACCAAACAAGAACCAAGGACTTAGAACAAATTAATGTTTGACTTTACCTCAAGTGTTTCAGCTAGATGCATTCACCTTGCTTACCATCTGAATCTTGTTGTCTTCGTCCACTCTTTCTCCTACTTTCCTCTTCCTGAGCTCCCCTGTTGCTGGGAAATAGTACTTCACGCTCTTGGCACCCTCTGCCCAGGCATCACTAGCTGCTTTATAAACAGTAACAGATTTAAGCAACACCTACACTGAGCACATTTTTACTAACCCCATTATGCTGATGAAGAAATAGAGGTGTAGAGAGCTCTGCTTTCTTGCCCAGAGCCATACAGGAAGCTGGTGACACAGCTAGGAAAAGAAACTAAATCACTTGATTCCCTGTGGTTAACCACAAGGCTACATTTCAGCCCTTTTTGATACTGTCAGGAATTGTACTGTACATTTAGAGTGAATGCTAATGTTAAAGAACAAGAGGCTTCCCCCACTTCTGAATTTCCCTGTGTGATACTTTCTCTGCATCCATCTAATTTAGGCCTTCAATATCTGACATGTAGGTCACCTCTTAGCCATGTAGAGCTCTGTAAACCATAGTGGAGGTCCAAGAGGACAGAACAGCACACTCAGGTGTTACTGATAGGTGGTATCAGTGCTTGTGATAAGATTCTTGGGTCAGGAGATACCTGGTGGTGTTCATTGTCCGGTGTCAGGCATACTGTCACTGTTATTTAGTGTCCAATAAATAATCATGGTGATGGTCCCACTTTATATTAAGGCTACATTTGTAAATAGTTTACAGAAGGATAATAAAATGATTGACTTGTCATATACTTATAGCTGGTTATCAACACATCAATGAAAAGTTTATAGCTGTTTTCAACCAGCAAATATAAGCAATGTATTCACCTATTGGACTCAATGAGACTCTAAAACAACTTACAACTTTTATTTAAATATTATATTTAAAATAATATTGTTATCAGTTTAAGAACAATATAATGTATTAACCTTGTTAAACTATTTATAAATTTACTTATAGTACAAAGTGTGGCATAACAGCAATAATATACTTTGTTTTGCATTATAATATGATCTAGTATAGTGGATATTAATAAATGTACTGTATGTGTGCTGTTTATAGTATCACACTATAAAGGCAACTATGTTAACAAATTCAAAATAAACCTTTTAAAGAAAATTAGTTATTTTTATCTAGTGCTTTCAATTTTCGGTTCAAACCAATATTTGCTTATTTAGTCCTACTTAAGTTAAGATACTGGCTGAGTGGTAAGTATGCGTTTAAACTTAAAAAGCCCTGAGTTGTTCATTCGTTCGTTCTTTCTTTCTTATCTCAGTCTTCTGGAATATCAGCTGGGTGTCATTATTCACTGTATTTAATCACTTTTACAGTAGGAAGTAGCATGGGGCTGGTGTGAGCCAAATATTTAGAAATTTGGGCTTTATTTGCAAAAATGTACACTGAGTTCTAATAAATATTGCACATCCTTTAGAGCCCATTCTTGCAAAATGCCCACTTCCTACAATAGGACAGTCAAGGAGGACAGTCCTACAACATTCTTAGTGAGCATATAGACTTCAGTAAGACTATGCACAAGAATGAGTCTGATGCCAGGTGGTCAGTGGTACAATGATGTGACCCTACACATCTTCAGCATCAGATCCTGACTTCTTAATAAGAGAAAAAGAATGTTGTCCTTGGGTAAATCTAAATTTGTGCATGTGTAGTGTGTGTGCACACACTCTATATACAGGACAGCAACATCAACAGATATCTGGCTATTCGACTCATTTCTTCCCTTTATGTATCATAGGAGACAGCTGTTCAGCAACAGAACAGAATGCTGCTCTTCCCCAGATGTGATCAAGCTCTAAAAATCTCATCATGGCTTACTGGCATGTCAATTCCAGATGTTGCAGAAAGCCCCATAAATCAAACCTTAGGCAACCCGACCTAGGAGCACATTGTTTGCAGACAGTATCCTGAAAGCATTCAACGGGACTCCTATTCACACCCTTAGTTCTCTGATATGAGTTTATTTTCTTTCATTTCTTTGCTCAGGTTATTTACCGAGCTCTGTCACCACCTTATTCAGCTGAAGATCCTTACAGCACTGAAGCTCAGGCACAGCTGAAGATCACCAACCTTCGAGTTCGGCTGCTTAAGCGACAGGCCTGCCCATGTAAGGACAATGATCTGAAGGCAAAGCCTCAACAGTTCATGCACTATGCAATCTCTGATTTCATCGTGAAGGGCAGTTGCTTCTGTAATGGCCATGCTGATCGCTGTGTACCTGTCTCTGGATTTAAACCTGTCAAGGCAGCAGGCATCTTCCACATGGTATGTGTTATACTGTGTAACCTTTTCACTGTGATAGACAAGAAATACAGTAAAGTTGCATGACTACTTTTTTCATAATGTAATTGATTGATGTATATATAACCGTAGTCAAAAGGAGCTCTGCAAAATCAAAATAAACACAACCAAAGCGATGATTTAATGGGGGATGGTTTCATGGTCTAAACATCAGTTTTGACATACCTAATCTCTCTGGTGCCACAGTATAAAACCTGGGAGGATCAACACAGACTCATCCTTCCAAGAGAGATGAACTAATTACTCTGCAGTTATAGTGTGTCTCCTTAAAAACCTTAAAAGCTAAAGTCACATTTTTCTGCCCTTAAAGACTTCGACCCAAAAAAAAGCAAAATACTACAGCTACAAAACGAACAAACAAAACCAAAAACCCAGTAATAAGCAGAGCTTCAACCCTGAAAGGAGAAAGAGCTGGAGATCTATAAACTTGATTAGGGATGTTGCTAATGCTATTGATCTTCCATAGAAGATGCTACAGTGATGAGTGGCAGTAGAAACAGAGAGAGAGCCAGAGCGAGAGAAGCCAAATGTTGCCTCTGGATGAGCATTCAAGATCTACACATTCTGGTCAGGAACATAGTCCTGCAAGTCTGACCGTCCTCCTTGAATGTTACCTGAATGTTAAACCTAACAAAATGCAGCTACTGGTATTTTAACTATCATAACACCAGATCTTACCTTAAAACAATATGTTAGTCACTAGGGGTTTTATCAATAATCTGTGGAAATCAAATAGAATCTTTCTGTTTGACTACAGTGAACTTTGTTTTAGGCCCTTGCTAAAGATGTCATCTCCTCACCATCAGTATTAGGTAGTCTGGTATAAAAGGAGTGGAGGAAGTTAGGTTGATTAATATTGCACTGAGGATGTCAAAGATGTAAACCAAGTTCTATAGCTAAGGAATTCTGGCATTGAGCCAGTCCCTTGGAAAAGTATTGAACATGTATTTTGAGTTAAATTATAATCTCAGACATGAAAAAGACAGCATGTTTGCTCTCTAATATAAGTAGTGTTCAACATCTGAAAATGCACAAATCCAAAAACATGCAACAGTTGGACTGATAAGTAGGGGTGCACCAACAGAGATTTTGGGGGGCCGATACTGATCCGATATCTGATACAGCTGCCTCCAGGTGGTAGGATGGTGTGGTAGAGGGAAGGGACATGGGGGGCAGGCGCTGCCTAGCCAGGGGGGGAATGGAGCCACGGCTTGTGGGTGGGGGCGGCTCCTACTGCTGCTTGCAGCCTGGGATGGGCATGTGCCCCCAGATTTGCATGGCACAGGGTAGGAGGCCAGCGCAGGGTGGAGCCAGAGCCGGAGCCGGAGCGGGGCTGGAAGCAGGCCCCGGCGGCGCTGGGAGGAGGTTGCAGCCACCCCAGATTTTGCTGCCGCCCGGCGCAGCCCTGGCTGAACGCGCGGCCTCCACCCAAGCGCTGGGAAAAACCGGGATTGTGCCAGGCGGTAGGCTGTAGCACGGGGCTGAGAACGGAGGTGCAGTGAAATTTGGGGTGGCTGCAGCCTCCTCCCATTGCCACCGGAGCCCGCTCCAAGCCCATCCCCGGGTGAGAAGAGCCGTGCAGGACCAGCTCTGGCTCTGGCTCCATCCTGCAGCTGCCGCCCTTCCCGCACCGCGCAGATCCGGGAAGCACATGCCCCCCCACCCACCTGGGGTGCAAGCAGCAGCGGGAGCTGCCCCCACCCCATGGGTCGCAGCTCCATCCTGCGCTCCCCGCCCCGGCTGGGCAGCACCTGCCTCTGCCCCTGCCCCCTCCCTCACCACGGGAAGCATTGATCTGTCCCCTCCTTCCCTCCTACCCCTCCGACTTACCAGCTGGAGGCAGCTTTCCACGCAGCACAGGCATTTATCGGCTGAATTATCAGCCCCATAGGGCCGATATAGTCAATTTTCTTCATATCGATACCAATCCGATATCCGACCGATGTATGCACCTCTGCTGATAAGTCTGTTGCAGGTAGTGCTACCCTGTTTGTCACAGATGTTTCCTTATTGAAATTCTCTGAAAGGAGCTGTTTATTTGGGATTCTTTAAGTATGATATAGTTGTGTAGGAGTATGGCAAGAGCTTAGCTGAGAGTTATGAAAAAAAGTGTAGCTGTACACACGTTCATTATGTGTTTAGTTAAAATTATGATTTAAAAGGTGCTTAATGTATGTCGTATTTTTATATGTATGTGATGTGTACAACTATAAAGATGCATATGCTACTTACCTGTATGTTTGTGCCATGTCAGGCATTGGAGGAAAAATACTAGCAAACTTATAATTCTTAGAATTGAAAAAGGAAAGTTAAATACCAAAAAAAAAAGCCCAAAGCAGAAAGAATCAACCTTGCTCTCCATTCCCCCTCCCAAAAGACCCCAAATCCCAAATTGAATGGGATATTAAATTTAAGCATACAAGTGTCTGGAGAGTGAAATATAAAGTTCCTACAACAAAGTTAACTCAGGCAAAGTACACGTATGTACTGTGTTTTAAAGTCTATTTGCATTAGTCCTTACAAAAATATTCTAGCCAGCATAATGTAGACACAGAGTTTGCAGTTGTAGCTGGCACCTAACCAGTCCTGGGATGAAGAGCAGTAAAAAGGAAAAGCTTTCTATACACACCATTCTCTCCCCCACCACAAGTTCAGGGCAGCTGAGAATCAAGCTTTACGGATTGGATCCTCTTCCCATCTAAATCACCTGAGCTACAAAGACCGCAATGGAGTTATGGCAATTTATGTCAGCTGAGAGTCTGACCTCCATGTATTTAATTCAAATATATCAAGAAGGCTTTACGTCTAAGACATTATTGGACCGTATGTGTTTGTGGAGGTGTAGTTGAGAGAGAGAGAGGCCCTCTCTACATGTTACATTTATGCTGCAATGAACTTGTTAATTGCAGTATAAATAGCAAGAGTGCTACATGTGCACCCAATTTAAGGCATCATAACATGGCAAACTAGCCATAAAAATGTCCTACATATAATGAATGTTTCTATGGCTGTTTTTATATGGTGCCTTAAATTGGATGTGTAACAAGTTGAGGCTACAGTTACAATCAGCCGATTGTTGGCTCTGGCCCTAGATCTGCAGGTACCTAGCATTCAACCTGCCAGTGCAGGGGGAGCCTGGGATCATCCCAGGCTCCTCCTGCACTGGCAAGTAGAAAAGGTGCTATTTGGATCTGATCCCCCATCCCAAAATCATGTCTCCTGTCATGCACATATGGCATTGCAAGAGGTATAATTGTTGGGCTCAGGGATCAGATCCCATATCACCTTTTAAATGAACACATGCCAGGGGCCAGAGAGAAGGACAGACAAAAGTTTGGTTGTTTAGCCAGACGAATCTGAAGAAGCATCAGGAAAACAGAGTGAAATTCAGAGAGGGAGCACTTTAAAATGTTTCCTCTGAAAAAAGTCAGTAAGTATCTTGGTAAATATTGAGAATTTACACAGCATGTTCAGTTGTCTCCTGAAGAGTTTATGGAGACAAAATACATTCATTAATGTTTGAAAGTGAAGTTTCAGTCCTGTTTAAGGTACAGATCTTGCTAAAATCCATAGCTAAGTTTGTTACTAGCGTCTGCATGGAGAAATAAAGTCCCAAAACCAAGAAAATACAAACGTTTTATTTTTCAACAGCCTTACAGAATGTAATACAAAAGATGCTTGTCACAGCCAGAATGTTCAAAAGGAGGGTCTAGAAATGAGGGACTTAATGCTATAGGGGTCAGGTTCTGTTCTGCCTGTTAGGTGCATAAGCGGTAAAAAAAATGCTAATTCTAAAGGTGGGTGGATCTTTCTCTTCCTTTCAGCTTTTTTATGACTCAGTTCTGAGGCTCAGATGATGGTGTGTTACAACAGTAGGCGCATTATGGTTTACAGGGACTTGAATAGGGTAGAGAAGAAATATATTTAGCAGCCTGATTCTGCTTTGATTCCCAATCTGGTCCTGTAGTTCTAAAGAGTTTCTTATGAAAGAGTTTTCCATCCTCAGTCTCAGCCTAAATGTGAAATTTATAGGGAAGTACATATGTAACTAATTCAACCATAGAGGAAGGAATAAAACATACTCTTATATATAAATCTAATTAAAAATGGCAACATTTTAGAACTTGGCTGGTTCTCAATGGACAGTAGTTCTGAAAAATGATTTTTTGGGTTTTTTTTTAAAATAACTGGTTTTAAAGTATTATAAAAATGTGCTTTTGTGCCCATGCAGTAAATATGTTATATTTTCTACTTACATTTTGCCCTATTTAAAAGTATGCTGTATGATATTTACATACATATGTATATGTAGCTCACTATAAATGAGCATACAATGCTTGCTTGTATGTGTTGGACATATCATATACCAGAGTACTTTACCCAGCAGTTATGTCTGTTCTTCGAAAATTTTTAACGGAATGATCCCATCATCTGTAGAACAATCCCATAGATTATATAGATAAAGATCAGAAAGAAACATTGCAGCCTCACTAAATCCAGGCTTTGTTTCAACTCCTTGATAATTATGGCTTTGAAAGTTGGTCAGTGAAAGAACAGGATGCAATGCTGTCGGTGTATGTGTTCTGCAGGTCAGGGGAGTGAACAAAAGAACAGCAAATGTGTGTTTTGGTAGCTCAGGGTGAAGCTGACAGGTCTCAGAGAGATCTAGCAAAGCAAGCTGAAGTATTTCATTCATGTCTCGTTCCACAAGTGAAAGAGAAACTGATGAATGTGTGATGAAGATAAAGGTGAAGGCTAATGTTTGTGTTAGTCTGGGGTTTGATAGGGTGATTTATGGCCAAAATTTAGCCTGAAATATCAACCCAAATTCCTCCCTATTTCTGTGAAAACTTTCCTCTGTGGCTGGAGTTCCTTCTGTTGGAAACTCAGCAATTTTTTTTTTAATCTTTGGTGTGGGCATAATTTTCAGCTAGAAGGAATGTGGGAAGCCTTGCTGAAGCTTC